AAACCCCCCCCCCCCCACCCCCCCAAAAAAAAAGAAAAAAATAAAAGAAAAGAAGAAGAACCTGAAGACCAGCACGAGAAGAGCGAGAGGTGGGTTTTTTCTTGTCCTTATCTTTAGATTGAGCTGGGGTCTTGCTAGTTAACAACCCTTTTGCACCTTTGCCTGACATCTTTTCTTTCAAAAACCAAAAACAGAGACCTCGGCCCTTAGATTTGTTTATCACAACGTAAGATGAACCCAAATGGAACTTTATATATCGTAGGATGGAAAGTTAAATGCTCTGAAGCCGAAATAATATTACGGAAACACCACCCGTTTTGTGGAGTTATTTATGGATTTTTGGGGGATAGGAATGGAAATATAAACTTATCTTCTCATGACCACTAGTCAACGTAGTGGGAGATGAATCGGTTGGCAGTATAGGACTATAGGTACGTCCCTCAACTATTATACTTCTGTCTTACTTACCCCTATGCTCCGCAAAAAAACGTAATTGGCTAATTTTACGTGTTATCTTTATGGTTAAAAATATTTTTAGAAATTTTCGAAAATTATTTTTTATATCTTTTATTGTTTTTTATATTAAAAATAAATTTAAAAAATAAAAAATATATTATTCTAATAAATTTTCAAATTAAAAACACTGCGTTAAAGTTGCTTGCATTTCTGGCTTCCTTCGCATCTTGTCAGATACATTTCCATCCCACCATCACCATGGTTGATTTGATCACAATGTAAAAGATTATGACGGTCACCTGTAATAGAAATTGATAGCAGATCATACAACAATGGGGTTAATAATGCTTCAAATTAAGTGTCAAATGGATTTTTGAAATTATGATTGGCCATTACCAAGAAATTAAGCATTCTTTTGTTTAACCTATTTTAAAAACTTCAATAAAACATGAAAGGAAATTGTAGAGAATAAAAATGAAATGAACAGTAACGAATTCTAGCAACTTTCTGTTCAACCTACAGGGTTGTCTCACACAATTTGCAAACTGCCACAAATGAAACCATACGTTGTTCAGTTCCTACCAGAACGACAAGAAAACCAGCTATCATCGAAAAGAAAATGGGCAAATTAGCACCCGATAAACTATCTCTGCCAATGTACACAACACAGCAATCCATCCCATGGATTCTGTCAATAGAACGATGGACAGCAAAAGCATCATTCCTTGGAGGATTTGTTGATAAGCGACTTGTGGATGTGAGGGATCACACCTCCACCAGCTATGGTTCCTTTTATAAGGGTGTCTAGCTCCTCATCACCCCGGATTGCTAGCTGCAGATGCCTTGGTGTTATACGTTTTACCTTCAGATCCTTGCTTGCATTTCCTGCCAGCTCTAACACTTCAGCAGTCAGGTACTCCAAGATAGCAGCAGAGTAAACAGCTGCCGTTGCACCCACTCTTCCATGGGCAGTTGCTCTTGATTTCAGAAGGCGGTGGATACGGCCAACAGGAAACTGCAGGGATGATATAGAACGAAATAGATGATCAAATCTTTTATGTTACCGGACAGGTATAAACGGCCAAATCTAGAAATGGAAAATCTTTGCTGAAAACAGGCGATAAGCTTGCAAGTCATTGATCATTATTCAGGAAGTCTGCAAATTCCTAGAACACACACACACCCTACTTTACAAGCAAAAGTAACAATAATCAATCCTCAGTGCCATGATGGCCAAATGACAAAAATAGCACAATCAATTGTAATGCAAGATGCTACTCCAGAGTTGTAACCAAGACAAGACTAAACCTACAACCCAGCAACTAAGAACTGTTTTCTAGATGTGTTATCTCTCTGAATGGGTGCGATCTAAACAACATTAAAAGAAAGAGCATAACGTGATGCAAGTATAACAAGTAATGCAAGAGAAAAAATAACATGGTCATGAGGTGCATAAAGAACCAAAGCTCTGATTTCTGAAGAGTTAAGCAATATAGTCAACGCACAGGAAGAGCAAAGATATCCTCACCACTTTAGATAATATTATTGATCAAACAGAGAGCCAGAAGAACTTTTGGCTCCATATTAATCTGACTGCTTCACAATTCCTGATTATGTGTTTCTGAAAATTAGACCTGTGTGGAATTGATAAGTTATACCATACCACCTCATACATATTATCATTGAAATTGCTGGACCAAATGTGCTTGTAGCACTTAAATTTAACAGTCATTTGCAAAACCTAAATAGTCACCGTAAAGTCCTGAACCATATGCCCTCTGAAAAAAGTATTCATTCAACATCCTCATCATCCATTTCAAATTGTATATCACCAAACTATATTTCTAAATCACACTTAGTCACCCTGATTTATATTCAATTCATTTAACAAAATTCAGTTCCTCTATAACCTCAAGGTACTCCAGCTCATGAAAGTCGTTATTGAGCAGCATCTCAAATAACCAACCAAGAACACATCAAAAGATTGCAGGGGGATGAGGAAACAAACTTTCTTCATAACAACATATGTATGGCATGTACTTCTATCAGCCTCAGATTGCATTCACATTAAAGAGATTTGTGGCATTTATCAGTTACTCAGGAAACTAGATCTTAAGAAACAAAGGGCTAGTTGTCTCTCTAGAAACTGAATTCTTTCCTTTTTCACCTTCTCTACAATTGCCACTGCATTCTCCTTTGAGGCTATTTACATTATGTTTGCCTGTTAATCTAGTTCTAACTCCTTATACCAAATCCTCAGAGTCATCAATTCAGCCGAAATGATAAGCAAAGGAACATAAAGAACACCCAGTTTTTATTCTCAAATATCAGTAGTTTAGATTTCCAAACTATAAAATCCAATCTCAACTAAGCCCAATAGTTATCTTAGCCACCTCAAGTCTTAATCTCACATAAATCTCAAGTCTACTTTCTCTTTCCAAAATGCATCACTCAACTATAAAGACAAACAACATTCTTTAAGAAACACATTAACACAAAACTTCAATAAAATTCACTAACAAAATCTTCTCAAGAAAAAACTTGCACTGAAAACTTCCATAAACCCAAGCAAGAATCCAAAACCAGAACCAAAATAAAAACAACCCAGGTATAAGAAAAACTAAAACTCAATAAATAATCAAACAACCACCCCCAAAAAAAAATTAATAATAATAATAAATAAATAAATCATGTAGGCATTAAAAAAAAAAAAGCAAAAATCCCAATAAAAGAACCCTAAAAAAAGAAAAAAAAAAAGGGGAGGGAGAGAGAACCTGATGACAAGTACAAGAACTGTAAGAGATTGGTTTATCTTCATGGGGTTAATGAACCAAGCAGGTCATCTGTACTTAACCTTAACAGTCAATTGGTAAAACCTAAACAGCTCCGTAATGCTATTCGGTACCCTTATGAATAACCCATCTAGTCTGGAACAAATAGGTGCCCTAAAGTCCTCAAAACCTCAACTGTATGCCCTATGTAAGAACATAAATATTTAACATCTTCCCCGTCCATTTCAAGATTACATACCGAAATGTATTCCTAACAATGCTTACTCCACCTAAGTTGTGTTCAGTTTAACAAGATTCATTTCCTCTATGACCTCAAGCTACCCAAGCTCGAGAGAGTCCTTATGGAGCATCTCAAAGCAACAACCAAATGCCTACAAAGTCAACACCCATCAATAATTCAGCATAATAAATAATCTTCAGAACACAACATGAGATTGCAGAGGACAAGGATACAAACTTTGTTCATAACAACATCCGAAGCTATAACATTAATTTGCAATTTTTTTAAGGTATGTACTTTTATCAGCCTTGGATTTTTGCATTTGCATTAAAGAGATTTATGTCAAATGTGGGTCACTCAGAGAAACTAAATTCTTTTTCCTTTTTTCTCCTTCTCTCCAATGGTTCCTGCATTCTCTTTTATGCCTATTTACATTATGTTTTCCTATTATTCTAGTTCTCACTTTTTACACACATTCCTCAGCTTCATCAATTCAGCTGACATGATGACTTGAGGAAAGTAACAAAACCCAATATTGACTCTCAAATCTCAGATGGTTTAGGTTTCCAAACTATAAAGCCCAAGCTCAACTAACCCCAACAGTAATCTATAAAGCCCAAGCTCAACTAACCCCAACAGTTATCTTAGTCGGTCACCCTGACTGCAAGCTTCCTCAATTTCACATAGATCTCAGTTTGTTTTTCTCTTTCACAAATTGATAACTCAACTCTAAACCCTAATGATATTCTTACAAGGAAAAAAAAAAGTTAAAAAAATTGATTAACAAAATCAACATAGTTTCTCAGGGCCAGATAAAATAATAATTAAAAAAAAAACAAGCAAGAATCCAAAAATCAGAACCAAAACAAAAAATCATTAAGAAAATAACTAAAGCTCACTAAATAATCAAAAACCCGTAATTAAGATTGAAACAAGAGCACAGCCTCAAAAAACCCAAAAAAAAACCTGAAGACCAGCACGAGAGGAACGAGAGGTGGGTTTTTTCTTGTCTTTATCTTTAGATTGAGCTGGGGTTTTGCTTGTCAACAATCCCTTCGCTCCTTTCCCTGACATCTTCTCTTCCACAATCCAAACAGACTTTGGCTCGCTCTTATATTTTCTTTAGATTTGTTTTATTGAGACAACGTAAGATAAACCCACAAAGACTTTATATGTTGTACAATTGTAATTTAAATGCCCTGAAGACTTCATTAAATTACGGAAGAGACACTCGTTTTGTGGGAGTAATATACTTATTTGTTGTAGGGGTAAGAATGGGAATGTGAGCTTATCCACTTGAGACAATGTGGAATGGATGGGGATATAATTAGGAATAGTTTTTGTTTGAGGATCTTACTGGAGATTGAATGATATCTGGGGATAAAAATAAATACATTTTTTTACCCTGAATTATATTAACGGGCCGAACAATAGGAGCATCAAGCTCCCTTTTCGCACCAAAGTCCAAAGAAGCTATGTGTTGGGCCCAACTGCAATGCCTTTTCGCAATCTCGAACATCGCTGTATTATCCACAGCCCATGACTGTTACTATGATTCATAGTACCCTACACGTTTAATGTGAGTTTATGACACAACGGATACTGGTAATTTTTTATTTTTTTTTTGTGGTTATAAGCAGAGTTTTTAAACCCGGTTAAAAGATTAACCTCCTTCAAAATTCGGGTGATTTGATCATCCTTGGTGGATTCTATTTTTTTATATAAATAAAATTGATATTTTTTTTATTAAAAATAAAACTAAATAGATAACAAGTTAGAATCAGATTATACAAATCTATATTATTATTTTTTTATTAAATTTGACTTAGATTCTAGATTAAACTATCTAGCCAAATCAAGTTTTAAAATTATAGTAGTAAGTAACTAATTAAAAATGTATTGAATATTATTTTTTAAAATATTTTTTATTTGAGAATATATATTTTTTTTTATTTTTTAAGTTTTATATTAGCAACTAAAATGATTAAAAAAACACAAAAAATTGTAGTTAAAAAAAAATTTAAAAATTTTCAAAAATATAATTAAATTATAACACCAAACACCACCTAAATCTAACTCTTTTTTCTTTCTAATGTGATGGGTTCTTGTCTTATTTGAATAAAAGTTCGATAATTATAAAAAAGATCGGCACTCTTTAGCAACCATGAAGAGATGAGATCTTCTATCTATGGAGTCTGGTGGGGCGCCCCACTTTTCCATTGATTTATTGTGACTTTAGACTCGTTTTTTTACGTACGTGAGATGCAAAAATAACTCATTTTTTTGAAGCCCTGGACAGGGAAGATCAGCAGGTTCAATTCAACGTCTAGAAATAGGCTAGCAATGTACCGGAAGATCTCATTTCACTGTTTTTATTGATTATTTTTTTAATATATTTTTTTTACCAAGTTGTAATTTTTATAGCCAGTGAATTTTAGAAATAGCGATTTTTTATCTATATTTAATTAAGTGAAATTGTACATCTTGAAGAAAAGAATTATCTAGATGCTTCCTTTCAAAGTTTGAATTTAAGAGGTCAAAAGAGATAGAAGACCTCATTTTCTATTAAATTTAACATAATTAAATTATAACCATATATGAAACCATGAGATACTGTAAAAAAAATGACTGAAAGGAAGCTATCAAAATGAAAATATTAAAGAAAAATCTGGATAAATATACGTTATTAATTCATTTTAAATCATCCTTGTGTACTAATGGTAATTTAAAAGAAGTTAATTTAAAGGAGTATAAGTTTTCGTATGCATAGCAATTGCCGGTTGCTATACATTATTCTGAATATTATTAATTTTTTTTACTATTAAAATTATTTTTTGAATTTCATTTGACAATTCAAATTTTTTTTATAGTTTTTATCACCAAACAATAATAGTTTTAACCTTACTATTCTTATTTTAACTAAATAAATTAATAAAACTAAGAAAAAAAATTTGAATCTCATTATCTATATTCTAATTAATAAAATCAGACATAAAAATAATAATGAATATATATGAATTTCAAGTTTAAAATTATTAAGCATGCAAGTGACTTATTTTACTTGGTTATCAAGTCAATTGGTCATGGGTTATAAGTTAATTATTTTAATTAAAACAACATTATTTATTTTTTTTGGAATTGGCTTTGTTAAGTTTGGTTAAATTAACAAAATCACTAAGAACTTTATCAAATCAATTGACTTTTATTATATCATATTTTTATGAATTTAATTTGAATTTCAATACAAAACAAACTTCAAATCATAATTTTTTTTTAGATCAACCCTCTAAAACTTGACTTTAAAATGCACAACAACAACTTGATTAGGTCAGTCTGATGATAACCCTGCGTAATAATTAATGAAGAGAAATTTCAAGCATTCTTAGAAGCAATCCAACAATTTCCTCCAATCATTTATTTTGGATCGAAGATTCTTACATGGAAGGTTAAAACCTTCTACATTTCATTCCCGTTTATTTTTATGTTTCAGAAAAAAAATTTAAAATTAATTTTTTATTTGAAATTAATATTTTTTAATATTTTTAATATATTATTTATTAAATAATATTTTAAAAATCAATTATAATGACACTCCCAAACATTATCGATACAAAAAGTCAAAAGCATCTCTTTTCCCTTCTCACGAGGGGATTAATTATGTGTTCTGAACCCATCATACTTTATTGAAAATTAATCCATAAATAGATTCATTTTAATATTTTTTATTTTTTATTGTATTTCAAAAAAAATTTAAAAAAATTATTTTTATTTTAAATTATTTTTTTATATTTTAAATTATTTTAATGTATTCATATAAAAATAAAAAAATATTATTTAAATAAAAAATATTTTAAAAAATAATCCCGACACTCACAATCAACCTTTAAAACTCCTATTTGCCATGTATCTAGATCAGTTGACCTTCATATCATGCACTGATGAACTAGCAGTTCTCTTCCGCTCGCTTGATCACACCGTGAGCACATTTTAAATTAATGGCTGAAATAGAAGTCGAAGAAATTGTAAGTAGTTGCGCTGAGTCTGCAGGGGCAATGATTAAAATATGACATCAATTTATTTTGTGAGAGTGATGCTTGGAAAAAGTATAAGATCAATTGTGAATTATATATGGGCGAAAATATCGACAATTAGGGCTAAATTATTTCCAGAACTGTAGCTGTTTCGGGCAGCTTTATTCCAGAAAGATGGACGATAATTTATTATATATTTTCGTGGCAGGATTTATATTTTTGGTTAAAGAAAATATTAAATTAATATTTTTAATACTTTCTGATTATTTTAATATATTTTTAAATAAAAAATATTTTAAAAAACACCATTCAAAACACTTATTCTAGAAGAAAATATTATCAAAAACACAAAATAAAATAACTCTGCTGTTGTTTCGTCTGCTGTCATGATGTGAATGCATGTATGTTTATATATTCTCTTGAAATTAAGGAGATAATTTTAGAATGTTCTAATTGACAGTTCCAAGATAATTAGTTATCTTTGATCAGAACCAATTGATTATTATCCATTTCTAATGGGATTAATTAATGATGTTAATCAACCTAAAATTATTAATTATAGATTTCTCTAATCATGTATAAATGCGAAAATTAAAGCATAATGTTTCACAGTACTGAATATATTATACTTAATTACACGCATTTTATGTAAAAAAAAAATAAAATCAATCAAAACATTTAGGAGGTAGCAAGTAAGCACACAGAAAGGAAAAAAAAGGGTCCATACATAGTTTTTTTTTCCTTGCATGATCCCCCCGTATACTAATTCACTAATAGAGAGCTAAGTATAGCCGATTATTAAATGCAAATCAAATAATTAAATAACTATAAATTAAAAATGAGGTATACGAACTATTTTTTATGCGCTTGGTGGGGTTAACAGGAGTTGACAGCAAACGCGGTCAATAGTCTTGCTTTTAATTAATTAACAGCAAAAATAGGTTGTCGATCGTGAAGTGTTTCTTGCTTGTCTCGATGGGCATCTTGCATCCATCTTTGACTGTGGAATCGCTTGTGTAAAACATCTGTAAGCGGCTGGTTGACCTTCAATGAAGGGATACGTGCAGGCCTGAACTCAACACTTGTCTTTCCTTTTACGCCAGATTCATAGCATTATTATGAATTAAGGGTCGGTCATTACTATAAAATTATCGAATAACGACGGAATTATTGATGTTATTAGTGATAAAATATCTTTATTTGCAGATAAGATAACCGACAGAATTATCTATACAATAAAAATAATTAAAAACATCAAGAAATATTATATCAGTCATTTTATTGGTAATATAAATTATCATTATTTACAGATGAGTTTACCAGAAGAAATATTTCGTTTCCAGTTTTCATTGAAAATCCTGCCGATAAATTTAAAATAGCTGATAACAATCTCCCCCCCCCCCCCACCCCCTTTTTCTTCTTCCTCTTACTCTTTTCATTTAACTGTATATTCCACGGGTTGTATAACAGAAATTATTGTGAAGGGTTAGTGGAGATGAAATTAAATGTTTATATATGAAGTGTAAAAATAAAAGTTTCACCAATTATGTGCTGTGATGATGAATCTGCTAAAAAAATAATTCGTGTTCTACTTCGCAAATAACGTGAGAAGACATCTCACTCAAAGTAGAACTAAGTACCTTGTAATGAGAACAACCATATTGTTACACTACAACAACCATTTAAAATACCAAGATTTGTTGCAACAACCTATGAAATTGTCTCGGGACGTGTGGACCGATTCCATGCATGATTTTTCCACCAGTTCACATCCAGAGATCGACCCTACAGTTCATTTAGAGCAGTAGTTGAGGAGTTAGTGGTTGACCAGAGACGTCTACTTAGCATGGGTGCATGGTATATCAATCGATACTATAACTAGCAGCATGGCCCAAGTGACTAATGGGTTAGACTTTTCTACTTAATGGAGCCTGCATATTAGAGAGCGATGCCTTTGGAATGATGAGCACAAGTCGTCGATCGCATGTAATGGAGCATCAAGCACGTTCCATTGATGACCATGCCTTATATATGTTCATGATATTCAACACCTTGAACTTGTCAATGCCTTAATTAGATCACTCATCGGCGCCGATATTCAACTTGTAGATGCGATATGTCACACAGATTAGTTGATTTGTCCTATCTTTCGGTTGGCTCACCAATCAAAATCTAACAGCATTGACTTTTCAGAAAGGAACCCAAGAAGATTCATAATCCGGGCTTCGGGGTAAATTGAAGATCAACAAGAAAGAATTACTCCCTCCACACCAGAGTTTAGTCTCATTTAACATTTAACAAATGTTAAGAAAGTGCAGATAATTGTACGTCACCTATCTTTAGATTAGGAAATTAATTCTCACAGTGCGAAAAAAAGCGGATGCAACGATGCAGCTTTGCTTGGTTGTGCTTGGCGTTGGTTGCTCATGTTAGATGGAAGACAGAGGAGAGTACGGTAGAAAATGAGATCCATGAACTGATTTGAATCGTCAGTCAAGAAATCTGCAGGTCACAAATCGTTTATACCAGGGCTTGAGCGTTCAAAAGGCTTGTAATCATCACTAGTCAGCTTCTAAATCCTTGACAGCTTGTCTAACCCTTAACATCTAGTGCAGGCAAAAGAATATCCTTGTCCTGCAAGCATAATACAGCACGATTTCTTTGCATTGTTTACATTGAACAGCAAATTATACTTTCAATAAAATGTAACTAATACTAGATTAAAACTATATAATTCTTAAAAATGAGAAGGTCCAAATTCTCTAGAAGGTATAGAGTTGATTAACAATATGCTTAATTAATATTTAATTTATTGAACGTGTTGAAAGGTACAAAATCCAATCAATACTATGGGTTAACCAGCTAACCCGCATGACTAATCACATTGACTTCTCGCCCTCTTGCACATTTTTCTAGAAACAAATGTTCTCCTCGTCAAACCCTGTACAGGAAAACATGCGATGTTAGGTTATGTTCCATTCGAAATGGAAAAATCGAGGATGGAGAAAGACCAAGGATATATAAGCATAACTTACTGTTGAAATTCTACGTTAATTGATGGTGCTGAAGGGTCTGCGATGGTACCAAATGCGGGCGTGGCAAGGACAATGGTGGCACCGTCCGATGAAGGTCTTGACCTTGACGTTTGCGCACGATCCACAATCCTAACCTGAACCATCTGGTCCGGAAGGCAAGTTCTAGGGACAGCTGCACTAATACATCTCACCAAGTATTGTCTCCCACAGGCTGCACCGTTATCCCATATTCCCTCGCCGGCTGCGGCAAACATGTTGCTTGATGGGAATTGTGATGATGAATTTCCATAGCAGGCAGTGGCTGCATTACAATCACCCAAGAAGGAAAAAAGAAAGTTAGGAAGGAGGGAAAAGTTTTTAAATTTCAGTTATGGAAGTTCTAGTTGTAGAGGTGGTAATGGCACTTACGTAAATATGGGGCGCTGTAGTAGGCACAAGTGCCAACATCGCCATATGAGAGGTGGAAGAGAGGTGCCAGGAGCAATATGAGTAGAGAGAGAGAGGCTGCACCGAAGATTGACATGTTGATACACGGAAATAAACCTTCTAAATATATTAGGCGTTCATCAGCGGTACATCGCTAGGCTAGAAATATATATATATGTACGGCTCCAATAAGCTAATTGAAAAGTCAAATTGTATACGTGTACATATATGAGGTGTGGCCGAAATAATTAGTACAGCAAAAAATGCTTTTTTTTTTTAGATTAACGTGGGTGTCCGGGCCAGCTTGCGCGCACCACGACTAATCCCACGGGCCCTGAAGTTAACGACCATGTAAGTCTCCAGTGGCCATCATATGAGCAACCAAGGACAAATGCTCTGTTTTTTAAACCTTCGAATGCTTGTCACAAGATATAAATGTGTTTCAACCCAAAAGATATTGTTAAATTGGTTAAATTTTATATTTAATTTTTAAAAATTATTATTTTAATTTTAAAATTCATAGAATTAGTCAAAGTATAATTAAATTGATTTGAATATCTACATTAATAAAGAAAAATATAAATGTATTTGGATGCAAATTTCTAAAATGATAAAAATATATCCCCAAACAAACAATTTTAGGCATAATTGTTAAATCCTTCTTAATATGCTAACATAAAACTTCACTCAAACAAAGTTTTTAAATGGGTTAAATAAAATATTTATTTAATAAAATTTAGTTAATCTAGCTAAATTTAATTGAATTATCATAATTTTCTTTTAAAGAATAAAATAAAAGTATTTTAGTAAAAATATTTACTTGGATTAATTTAATGGCTTGCATATTTATCCAAAACCCTTTTTAATTTAATTTTTGAATTGATATTGATAATTATGATTTTGAGTTTATATTAACTATTGAAATCAGAGTATGTTTGAGAATACGGTGTAAACCGTGTTTCTAAAAAATTCAGAATTTTATTTTATTAAAATTTAATAAGTTTTGTATGTTTTGGATTATTTTAATATATTATTATGAAAAATAATTTTTTTAAAATAAAAAATTTATTAATTATATTTTAACATAAAAAATTATTTAAAAAATAATTGTAAACAGACGAATAAACATTCTCTTCAATGCTGAAGAAGTTTGTGGTAAGACAACCGCAAGGCAACGTCGCTAAAACATACAATACTTTACTAGAAGTGCAATCTAATTGGATGGTTGCATATAAACCTAAATAATGTCATCTGATATGCCGACTTCGAGAAGGCATTAAATTGGCCGTCTAGGTAAATATAAAAGCTGAAAACGTACCAACAAATAAGGGAACAAAATAAATAAACGTTATCGGCCGGCTCTTCGCTCGACGCCAGCCTTCGGCGTCTGCTGAGACTAGGCATGGATCTGCCGTCTCAGGGAGGAAGTTTTCACTGTCTTGATCTGGTGCCATTTCTTTGCATAAGGTTCATGTTGAATTTCATGAGCTTTGCACACATTAAAAAAATAAATAAAATTCAAGCAATGCATCGAGTGGTTTGTGGCTATTTCCTTGTTTGGAGTGTCTGGCTCCATTAATTAATTTCTCTCCAAACAAAAAAAAAAAGAAAAGAATTTACGCATCTCTGTGTGCTCAGCATGGGCAGATGGGCTCTGGGATTTTTTTTCTTGCGGGATCATACATATTTACTTGGCATTTTGTAGAGAATGCGGGATATTAAGGGGTTGGAATGTGAGATTTCAAGAATCTATGTGTTTTTGCTCTACGAGAATACAATGTTAATATTAATATTAACGCGATGTATTATAAAAATGAAGAAGATTTTATAAATTTTATAAATTCTTAAATTACAAAGATTTATATATACTGCATGTGATGATTTAATATTAATAAGATCTTGACATTCTCAAATGTGCTTGTATATAAATTCTAGAAATAAAATTAGTTTCCTTATTTGGCTAATTTAAGTTGAGAATTTATATTTTTTTTTAAAAAATTATTTTAATATAGTTTTAAATAAAAAAACATTTTTAAAAACAATCCCTACTGCATTTTTAAACACCTTTATAATTTAAAATCCCACATTTCTCTTGCTAAATTTCACCCCAAATATATAATGTGATGATGTTATTTTCTTTCTTGTTGTTCTATAGGTGATGACAGATGAGATATGAAGATTTTTTTTTCAATTGTTGTCTAATTGGTTTTTTATTCAAAATCTAAATTCATCATATTTGATTAAGAGATTAACTTGAAAAAAGTATGGATCTCTATGTCAATTCATAAATTACCAAGTTAAACCAGGTAAACTAATTTTTATTAAAATAACAATATTTTTTTTACAAGAAATTGGTATGATTAAGATTAATCAAGTACATCGAGCCACTAAAAATTCAATAAAATTATAATTAAATTAATATTTTATTTAATTAAACTAAAATCTAATCTAGATTAGACTTTCAATTTCCCATATCAACGCATTCAGTAATAACGAGCATAATAAATATGCCTTCATGCTTATGCCTTGGTTGGATCTTGAGATCTCCCAAATCCTAACGGCGGGAAGTTTTTTAGGTACATTCTTGAAACTATTTGATTCTATGTTCATACCTCTATACTAATTAAATTTTAAATAAATCATTTTCAATTGACTATGTTTAAAAAGGTGACAGTAAAGTTAAGATTGAACCCTAGAATGCTGTTTTTATGATAAATAACTTGATCACTCTATTTCTTCATCAATCCCCTCCATGTATATTGATTAATTAACCTAGCTAGAAATTACACTCAACCAATTAGTCATCCTTGTAATTTTCAATTTTGTTTTTTCTTCAAGACTTGTGTTCTCAAATGTGCCCACACGGCAAGGTTGGCTCAAACATTATTATTTGATGCATAATTTTGTTTTTATATACAAGACTTGTGTTCAAACGTCTTAACTCATGGTTTTTTTTCTTTCTTGTTCTAGAAAGAAGGTGAGACTTGTTTTTTTCCCCTTTCCTGGGATGAATAAATGTGGAGACTAGAATGAAAATTTCATCCGAACTCGATAAATATCAATTCAATTTGAATAATTAAATATTTTTTAAATAATTATTTTATCTAATAAAATAATAAATATGATATGAATATTGTTAAATTTAACTTGAAAACGGATCAAACCTAACATGAAATATATAATAAAATTCTCTAGGATTATTGTCCACGTGATTCTTGTGTATATTTTTATATGTACATAAATTTAAAAGAAACCTAATTTAGCTCTTCATGTTATCATTTGAATCCAAAAACTTTTGATATTTTTATTAATTTTCAATCTAAACGTATTGCCTATATAAGAGTTAAAAAAAAAAAAAAGAAAAAGGGAAGAACATGGAAGGCTTAACATATTCTTTTATGAGAAACATGCTTTATCATCCATCAGAAGAGAAATTAAGAGTAAAGTTCAATACTCTGAAAATTAAAGGATAGAGAACAATCCTCCAGACAAATAATTTCATCGTCTCTACAGCAACCTAGAGTTGCAAGACCGAGGGTTTTTTGGAAGTATCTCACCTTGTAAAGAAGCACTCGAGAAGCTGGAAAGAGGTAGACATGGAAAGAATATCATCTGCAGCCATTGCTTCATGGGGAGTCATGTTTGTCTTCCCTGTTGATCATTCTTTGAGCTTGAAGACAGTCTCTGTTTCGAGGACAATCTTGAAAAACCAGCTTCAAGCACCATGGATGATGCTTGACAATTTATGTGGTGGGGCTGGTAGATTTGATGCTGATTAATTTACGGTTTGAATTTGAGCTAGGGACTTCTTCTACCAAGTGGTCCAAGTTCGTTGTCTTGGGCTCCTTTAGCTTTGGTCCATGAGCCCGTTCTCAGAACATTTTCAGGGAGCGTGCAATGGCTATGTTTTTATGTTTTTTAGTATATTAAAATATTGTTTTATATTTTTATTTATTTTTTACATAATATATTAAAATTATCATAAAACACTAAAAAAATTATAAATTTAATTTATTTTCAAGATAAAAATATTCAAAAACAAGAATATAAGCTATTCAAAGACCTATGTATGTTATTTTTTATTCTTATTTGGATATCCTCATATCCTTTTAAAGAATGAGATTAGTCGTGTTTGGAATTCATGATTGCCCCTCACAATAAATACACTTTCTAGAGATAGAACTTCTGTTCTCGTCCTTGCAAGGATGTAATATTGTTTTAATTGTTAAATTAACACTTTATTTGTCATTTATTTGGATATCACTTATGTGTGTTTGACAGTATAATACATGATATTTTTAAAAATTTAAAACATATCAAAAAAATATTTTTAAAATTTAACATATTAAAAATATTAAAAAACATTTAAAAATATTAATTTAATATTTTTTAAAATAAGAAACAGTTTGATTTTCATCCGTAAAACAATAACTTCCTAATGGTCTCAATCATTTGTTTTTCATTGCTAACTGCTATATTTCTTCGAGGGCTAATTACAAAATGGCTACTGCTCTATTACATTGCTCACAATATTATCATGTATCCACTCGAACCCTTAATTTTCTATTAATATCACCTAAAGATCTCAATGAAACTTTTCATACTGTCTTTTTTAAAATAAAATAAAAATAAAAAAACCATCAAATAACTCATATTCCTGGCACATTTGTTTTATCTATTATAGTTATGAAACTTGATTTGGTAATTAATTTGATAAAAAAACTTGAATATTTGGTTGCACAAGTTAATATGAGTTACTAAAACAATTATTTAAAAAAAAAATTAGAATAATATTGTTTTGATAAAAAAATAAATAAAATTTCAATCAATTCATTTAGATTATAAATGCTCCACCGAGTTAACTCTAGATTTATTTTTCACAACACGTGGCTTGAGTCAAAAGGGCAAATTATACTATTGAACAGGGACTAATCAAGCCATGAACCCCTTTTGTTTTAAGAAACAGAAAATGAAGTATATATTATGAAAATATTTATGAGAAAAGAATATATTTTTGAAAATAAAATAATATTAAATTAAGCATGATTAACACTAGTAAAAGGATTGATTAGTTATATTTTAAAACTAAAAAGACTATTGAACTTATTTTAAAAACTAGAGGGACTAATTTTATAATTTACTCCATGACTTCCTAGATAAGTCAGTCGCCCGAAGGAAATCATAAGACAACCAAATCTACGTCGTCGTTTCAACACACCAGGCATAAAGTTTCCCCTACTCCATTAGCTAACCAGTCGCTTGTTCACAAAGACAGAACACATAAACAGAAGAGGAGAAGAGAAATCGAAGAAAACAAGAAAGAATGGAAGCACCAAAGACAATCGAGCATCAAATTGGAGAAGTCCATGATTCTCTTCGTTTCGGCCTCGATACCAAGAGAGGCGACATCATTGGATCTCACCCCCTTGAATCTGCCTTGCTCTCTGTAATCATTCCTTGTCTTTTCTGGACCGGAAATATGTTAATTTTGCACCCTTTGTTCCTTTTTTTGGTCTGTTTAGAATTTTTTATGGAATCAGTATGATAATGGGGTTTAAGGGTTTTGTTTGATTAGATTGTTGAAATTGAAGTTGGTTTCTTTATGTTTAAGAAGGTAATAATTTTAGGTTTTCTTTAGGTGGAGAAAAACCAAGAGGAAATGAAGAGAATAACCCTTGCAAACGCTTATGGGGCAGCTTTTCTTGTTCAGATGGGTATCGAAAGGCAGATGCTTTCTAGGTATGTGTTTTTGACTGATTGATTCTGTGTTTAATAAAACAACCTGTCGCTGCTGACTGTTTCTTGGGTTTTTTTTTTTGTGTGTTTTAGATAACTAAAAGAAGGTTTTTGTTTAGTTATCAATTTAGGTTTTATTCGTATCCTCAAGCTTTTCTTTTTTTAATCTGAAAAGTGCAATGAGATTGTGCTTTAATTTCAGGCTAGGGGGAATTTAGCTGAAGTGCTTTGTTTACAGGAGCTAAGGACTTTAGATTATCAATACAAGGGCATAAAGGCTGAAATGGGGTGGATCTTGCTTAACATTGCTTTGCATTTTAGTTGTTTGAAGATGCTTATCCTGTACTGATTGGATGTGAGCTTGAGGGTTGGAGACCTGAACTGTTTGCTACAGAAAGTAGCAATTAGTACGGAGTTATTTTCACATATCGTTTAGTTGTTAGATGCCCACGAGGGTGTCATGGTGCTACACTTAGAGCCATATTAGGTAGGAGTGTTCAACTGTTGTAGTTTTGGGCAAGTTGTTAACGTGAATTTGGATCATCTGCACCTCAATCCTTACCGTTGGAATTTTTAAATGCTGTCTGTGGTGTCATCCTGGGATACTACTGGGTTCGAGGGGCTTATCATTAAAATCCAGGAGTATATGTTCTTGACCTATCATTATGATTAAGAATTAAGAGCAGCATTATCCACACTGTATATTGAAAAACTAAACAGGTGGACACTGTATAGTTGTTACTATGACCGCTTATACTGAAAAGGATACTTTGACACGAGGCTTAGGAACATTGTTTCTTCTGAAACTAGATCATATAAGTTCACTCATAACTTGCACATGCGCATGTTGTATCCCAATTTTGTCCAAAATTTGCTGGGGCTTCCTCTTCTTTTGCTGTGGTTCTCCACACACACAAATGCACACATAAAATATTCAAAGGTGTACAGTTGTCAGATTATGCTGCTATTTTTGCACTATTCATCTGTGTGAACTTTGCAGATTCCGGAGGCCACCAGGACCAATTCCATCTTCAATGCTCGGGCTGGAGGCTTTGACCGGAAGTTTGGAAGATTTTGGTTTTGAGGATTATCTGAATGGTAACTACTTCTATTTGCTAACCACAAAAAAAGTTATTTTCAATTTGATAGTATTTGATTATTGCTATAAAAGCTGCCTTTTCATTTTGAGTTGGTTAGATTTTGAATTCACACTTTACTTTACTTTCATTTCAATAAAGTATTTGAAAAAATCATCATCCTCATTCATAATGATCAAAGGTAGGTTACTTGTCTTTCATTGGATTTTAGGGTTCTGCAGTTGGTAAAACTGTCAATGAAGGCTAATGATCTTTCGTGTAATTTTGGGGATCCATTAATTTCGTTTGCATCACATATCTTTTGCTTTTTGATAATCATTTTTGTTCTAGTACATTAATCACACAGATTGTGTTCTCAATTTGGGGTTTCGAGGATAGATGTAATTATTTTGCACTTTAGTTAGTGTGCGAGATAAATTGTAATTGGTAAAAACATTCTAAACATGGGCTGCATTTATTTTTTTGTGAACTCCTGATTTGGTCCGGGTAAATTTGGCACATGCTTTCAGATGAATTGGCATCTCGCATGTGTTTTTGCTCTAACTTCTACTGATGAGTCCTTTCTGGGTTGATACTTGCAGATCCTCGTGAATCTGAAACTTTACGTCCAGTGGACATGCATAGTGGGATGGAAGTTCGTCTTGGAATATCAAAAGGACCAGCCTGCAAAAGCTTCATGTGATCTGATGAGCATTTCAGCAACGCCTTTGATTATTTGTACTCGAGATATTTGGTTAAGACGTAGGAGTAATTTCTATGATGAATTTGGCTGTGTTAATGAACATCAAACTCTGCAATCTATGATAATGGCTTTGTGATCTGGTACTCTGATTGATCTATTATCACCATCAATGTTATTAGAATATCTGTTTTAGCCCCGGGAAAACATAGTAAGAGTGCAAGTAATAGCAAACTTAATATTATTGATCCAAAAAATAATTTTCCAGCAAAATCAACATATTGCATTCCATTTGAATCCTTTAAAGAACTCGTCAGCATTGATATAATCTCTGCAGCAGCAGCTTGCCTAGCTTTCATACTTCCTCGAAATTTGAATTCATATATCTGTCTATAACTAAACCTGGATGTTTCTCACCTTTTCTACAGAGATGCACTATTGTTTTTCCTTTTTGGACATCAACATCACTTTAGATCATGAAAACAAACGTTTTTTCAGTTTCGCTTTGAGTGTTATAATTTAAAGTTGAAATTTATTCTTATTTTTCAATCTTTAGGTGTCACTTTAATTATCTTGTAGCTACATATATATACATATTTTTTTACAAAATATATCTCTTATAGATCTTATCCACCCTTTAAGTATGCTTTTATGGTACCAAAATTTATCCTATTCCACCTTGTATACATTTATAACTTTCATAGTGTGTCATTTCACATGTCTAAGAGAGGTGAGAGATTCTAAATTTAGATCTTCATTGAAATAAGTCTAATGAAAAGTATCACTTTTCTTATCAATTATCAGTTGATCATGATATTCATTTATGTATAAATAGAAGGAACAATGGCTATCCTCGTCACACAGTGAGCACTAACCATTTAGAGATGGGGTAATTCATGTTCTGTTTCTAGTCCATACCATTATAAATTTATTCATCATATAAATTTGATATATCAATTCAGTGACTCAATAAATTAACCTGAAACCTAACCGGGTCAATTTCAGTTTTATTTATTATTTTTTAAGACAACATCGTTTCAATTATTTAAAAAAATTAAAATGCATTATTCTAGGATTGATACAATGATATGTGAGCTAACCTAACAATACGGCTACCTGCGTCTGACAATCCCATGTAGGTCAAATATTGATATGAATTAGTTGGAAATCTAGCCTATTTAGTTTTAGAAAATAATCCCTCTTTTCATTTTCTGGTATATTCCTAGTTTTCAAACATGTTCATTTGATTTCCTATTCATTATTCTCTCCCCACACAAATTGATTGGAATGCCCATTAGAAAAGCCCATTTCCATTCAATGCCTTGCTACTAAATTAAGGCCTAGACCCAGCCCATAAAATACCAACGTTAAACTTTCCAAAAAAAACTTGGCCTTTCCATTTTCTTATTTCTCTCCTTTTTTTTTTTCAAACAGTTGATACCATATCAACCTCAAATTATGCTCCCCGTGTCTTCTCTCCACTTACTCGTCTAAATTTCATTATTTTTTTTCACTTATTCCAATCATTTTTTAGAATAACCTTTTTCGGCAACTTTTCTTGTTTCTTATCGGCAAAAAGTCTGGAATTTTTTTTACACTTTTTAAGCCATTAAGTTTTGATCAATCAAGTGAGCTTTTAAACAATCAAGCATTGATCTTTTTGTGTTTTTTTGGGAAAAATAGTGAACTCTTAGAGGTGGGATTTTGTTATTTTTTCTGATGGGTACTTCTGTTACTCAGTACCCATATGGAATTACTTCACTTTCTTATGTAGAATTTGGTCACAAATTGGAGTTTTCAAGCTCTAATTTTCCTTATAAGGTGGAATTATCAAGATTAAACTTGCATCCTAGTTCTGTTTCCACCACTAACTCCAAGGTATGTGAGTAAAGCTTGTGTCTTTATAATCATATTGCACAATTGATTAGTCAATTTTTAGGAAAGAAATGAAACGAAGCTCCAAGTTGAGCATACTGTAATGTGATGGAGAGAAGGAGATAATCTAACTTATGTGCTAGTGGCAATTTTGTAAATAATGTAGTTTTTTTTTGACAATTTTGATTACCTTCAATGGCTAATGGTATGGATTAAGCAAACAGGATAAGTGTAATTTATAGAATAGATGATTGAAAGAATTTCATGATCAGTGAGCTTGTTTGCTTATATATGATATTGGTTTGCATTCTATGGAGCCACCTATCAAACTAGTGATCCTTCTCGTATTTAATTTAGTTTTGGTCATGGACAAGTTTGCTACATGTATCCAGGATGATGTTCCTGGGTGGATGCTACATGTAAAGATTTTTACGGTAAAGCCTGAATATCTTTAAGAGTTAAGGTATAGAATCATGTTGGTTTTTTTGTTGATACAGGTGTGTGTTAGACGAATATGTGCTTTACCTGATATCGATGATATATTTTCTGATCTTATTGCTACACCACTACTTGATGTGGTTGAAAATCCTATCCACTTGAAGAATTTAACCATTAAGGTTAGTTCATGAACTTTCTGCATTTACCATACATGTTTCACGCTATTAATACTTCAGCTTATTGACTCGTTGAGGATTGATATGTGCAGGAACTGAAACTATTAGCTAGTGAAATACGATCTGAGTTGTCTTCCATAATGTCAAAGACACAAAATGACTTTAAGGCCAGTTTGGCAGTGGTTGAACTGACAGTTGCAATACACCATGTTTTTCATGCTCCAGTGGACAAGATACTGTGGGACGTTGGGGAACAAGTAAGATTTGCAGCTGATTCCTTTCTTTATAGAGGAATGTGTAGTCATCAAAGAGCAGAAGATAGCGTGCTTAGTGTGGTTTGTTTGTTCCTTTGTGTTGTGCATCCCTATAGAAGTGTTGCTAGCATGATTATTTTCTTTTCTAAATATTTTTTGGTGTGGGGGTGGACTGGGGATTTGTTGATGTTACAGGCTGGGCAGAGTCTGAACCAAAGAATATTTCAAAACAACTGGCCTTTTGTATATGGAAATGGTTAGTTTTGAGTGACCATGTGGTCCACTTTTTAAGTCAGTTCCCTGTTCTTTGTCGGCAGACATATGCACATAAAATTCTCACTGGAAGGAGATCTCTTATGCATACGCTAAGACAAAAGGATGGTCTTTCTGGATTTACATCCCGGTCTGAGAGTGAATATGACCCGTTTGGAGCAGGACATGGATGCAACAGTATTTCTGCTGGAATTGGTAAAGTGCCGTGCTATCAGCTTCTTATGCTTTTCTTAATTTGTTTTGCCCACTTGTATGAATGAGCACCCTGTCCAGAAGTTCTTGCACTGTATTTCACATATCCACCGTGATTAAATCTTTTTGGCATGTGCTTCTACCCTGGTAATATATTAGTATGTGTGCTATCCTGCCAACCAATGAGATTGCCTGTCCAAGTTTGGGCTGTTAACTATAGCTCATAAATTGTTGTTATCTCCAAATCAAGTTGTAAAACTCTTGCTTAAATGCTTCAGAATTGCTATCAGAATCAAACCTAAAAAATGGAATTTGATTAGTTTATCACCAGGCATGGCAATTGCTCGTGATATTAAAGGGAAGCGGGAACGTATTGTTACAGTCATTGGCAATGGCACAACCATGGCTGGTCAGGTCTATGAAGCAATGGGTAATGCAGGCTATTTGAACTCAAATATGATTGTGATTTTAAATGACAGCCGACACTCTTTACACCCCAAGATTGAAGAGGGCTCCAAGACTTCAATCACTGCCCTTTCTAGTACCCTAAGCAAGCTCCAGTCAAGTAAATCATTCCGGAGGCTCAGAGAAGTTGCAAAGGTACTTTCAGCAGTTTTCCATTTGCCTACATGACTAAGCTTGTATTAGGACCATTAACTATCTTCGTTAGAGAGAATGGAAGATTTCTATAATTGAGAATACATTTTTTTGAGTTAATTTAGAAATCTCTATTGCAACAAGTAGCACAATAAAATTCACCATCAGATTTAATATCTTGTCGTGACTCAGTGCTTTATTGTTTTCATTAAATTGAATGCTCTTTTTTTTTCTCCTCTTTTTTCCTTATCAAGGGTGTTACCAAGAGGATAGGCATGCATGAATTAGCAGCTAAAGTTGATGAGTATGCACGTGGTATGATGGGTCCTCTGGGTTCAACTCTCTTCGAAGAACTTGGATTGTACTACATAGGCCCTGTTGATGGGCACAATATTGGAGAATTGGTTTGTGTTTTACAAGAAGTGTCATCTCTGGATTCAATGGGTCCTGTCTTGATACATGTAATAACTGAAGAAAATCAGTGTACAGAATATAAACAACCTAGTGAGGCAATGGAGAACCTGCAGGAAGGTATGTTGAGTTCTTATACTTAAATCAGCATTGAGTTTTCATAGTGACTATCAATTCTGTGCATTTATGCTTCGATCAGGATCAGGCCTTAGCTGAGAAAAGGAAATTTGAATTCTGGTCTTCATTTTTAAGTTTTAAGAACCCAGGACTGGTTAATTGCTTTACAGATTATTAAGTATAGGTGATAATTTTAATTCTAAATTAATGCATATATATTCTTTAAGTTGCAGATTGCTTCAAATGTTCATGTCTAGGCCAGGCTAAGATTTATTTATTTATTTTTGATAGTTGAAGATTATCATTGATCAAAATGAAAGTAAAGTAGGAACCCATCCTGCTTAAAGAGCTGTGCTATCAACAAATGTACAAATTCTATCAGAAGAAGAACGAAAACTAGTTTAAGAGATCACTTATCAGTTCTGAAGAAACAGAAGAACTGTCATGCACTGCACAAATCAGCGTGCTTACAGCTTTCAATTGCCTCTTGCAGAATTCTGGATTTACGCAACCTGTTTTGAACAAAACAAATAATAAGGCTCGTCATGTCTAAGCTTTATCTTGTTTATGCTTTCAGCTGCCAACTAATCAATGATTAAGATGCCGTGAAACAGTGCAAGTTTTATGAATATCCATCTGTGAGATGCGACATATGTCCACAAGTACCTCTAGTTTTTATGTTTGGAGTATGAGGTACCCATTTGTGTTGAGGCTAACTTTGTGCTATGTTTACTTAGCCACTAGCATGTTTGGTCATCCTCTTTGAAATATCAGACAGGCAGTACATCTTCTAGCTGACCGTTCAAACCTAAAATTTTAAACTTTTATTTAATTTTCTCTTGTGAGTGATGCAAATGGACAGACTCTTATTAGTGTTTGTATTTTTAATTCGTTATATAACCCTGGGGCTCAATTGTTTCATAAAAGATGTAAACTCATTTGTGTGAGTGTACTTGAAAGACATTTCCCCCATGCATTTTAATCGTAGATGCCAAATTACCTCCCCTCACCATGGCTGAGTGACCATCCACAGTTCTGTTTTGGCTTTAGTGTAATTTTTTCTTTTTAATTCATTAAGTTCCATTCTAATAGTTTTTCCATTTTTGCAGGTTCATTTGATTCCAATGGATCGCTATATAGTATGCATGCTCGAACATACAGTGATTGTTTTGTTGAGGCTCTGATAGTGGAAGCAGAGAAAGACAAAGATATTGTGATTGTTCATGCAGGAATGGAAATGGATCCATCATTTCAACTATTTCGGGAAAGATTTCCAGACAGGTTTTTTGACTTGGGAATGGCTGAGCAACATGCAGTTACATTTTCAGCTGGCTTGTCATGCGGGGGGTTAAAGCCATTTTGCATAATTCCTTCTGCTTTTATGCAAAGAGCTTATGATCAGGTCTATCTCTCTCTGCTTGTGTCTGAAATTCTCTGTGTGTGTGCTTGCATGCATGCGAGTGTGCAATGAATACTGTAGAATTAGATCCTGCTAGATTTTCATTTTAAGCTAGTAAGATTTGTAATTCTTGTTGATTCTTCAAGGGAAATAGGATAGCATGATGTCAAGTTTTGGAAAAATAATTGTAAAATTAATTGCAGGAAAAATCTTAATTTCTCTAGAATGTTGCTCTGTGGCTTCTACAGGTAGTCCATGATGTAGATAGGCAGAGAATTCCAGTTCGTTTTGTTATTACAAGTGCGGGACTGGTAGGATCTGATGGTCCGACTATGTGTGGAGCATTCGATATAACATTCATGTCATGCTTACCAAACATGATCGTTATGGCACCATCAGACGAGGATGAGCTTGTGGACATGGTGGCTACTGCAGTCCATACTGATGATCACCCCATTTGCTTTCGGTATCCAAGGGGTGCCATTGTTGGAACTGATCATTATACACGTAGTGGTATTCCCATTGAGGTAATCCTTTTAATATGCCATACTTACTTTCCCTTGCTTTTGATATCAGCCTTCCTAGAATGGTTTTAGTTTTGATGCTCAGAAAAAGTGTATTAGCTTTCCTAAAATGATGTTAGTTTTGATGCTCAGAAAAAGCAGACTAGTTTTTGCTAATGACCGTTCAAAAAAAAAAAAAGTTATAAGAAAAAGAGCTAGAACTGATGTTTTGTGATGCCCTCTATAATTTGTGACAAGATAATTAATGCTTCTTAGGAATCACAGCTTATCTGTCCACAATGGTGTTCAGTTAATTTACTTGGCATGGTTCAGAATTTCTCTGATATTCCTGATTAAGCCTTTTTCAAGTTTTTTTTTAATTTTCAGAACTTCATTATAACCGTTGATTCCCATGACTTCCACAAGTTTTTGTGGGTCACTCTTTTTTGTATATTATTAGTCAATGAGCACCGAGTGTTCTTATGCACCCGCACCATGTTTGACTACTGTTTATGTGGAGCAGATTGGAAAAGGAAAAATTCTTATAGAGGGTAAAGATGTTGCTTTGCTTGGGTATGGAGAAATGGTTCAGAACTGCCTCAGAGCTCGGGCCCTTCTTTCGAAACTTGGCATTGAGGTAACTGTTGCTGATGCAAGATTTTGCAAACCACTGGACATGAAGCTTCTCAGACAGTTGTGTGAAAACCATGCCTTTCTGGTCACAGTTGAGGAAGGTTCTATTGGAGGATTTGGATCCCATGTTTCACAGTTCATTGCCCTTGATGGACAGCTTGATGGAAGAACTAAGGTAATAATTTCACTTGGACAGATAATATCAATAGTTTGTTTTTACAAGGGAGAGATGTATCATATGCTTCCTGAAATACAAAAACTGCTGTTGGAGTAATTTTTGAGCTGTAGGCGATGTTGATTGATGTCAATTCATTACTGATGCCCATATATGATTATGATAGGCTCTTATTTAGAAACTGAATACTGCATTAAACCACTTATTCTTTCCTAAATGCAATTTTGTCCCGTGTGACTTCTTCAGTGGCGACCAATTGTTTTACCAGACAAATACATCGAACATGCGTTGCCAAAGGAACAGCTTGCTCTTGCTGGGCTGACTGGACATCATATCGCTGCAACAGTGCTGAGACTGCTTGGTCGCACCCGCGAAGCTCTGCTCTTGATGTGCTAAAAATCTTCTCTCTCCTTCACTATCAGAAGCAATGCTCTTGCCGAACCTGCCTCGGAAAAGAGGGCTGAAAACAGAAGAAGCCCAGGATGACTTCAAGTATACACAGGTCTTTATACTGATATTCTGTAACCTGCTTGGCGTAATTTCTTGTTAGTTTACAGGTTATTGACGTAAAATTAGATTTTTGATTGTATAAACCGACGGGTGAAAATATATGCTTGTAACCTTCAGAGCAGCTGTCACTGCATTTATCTTGATCCTGGTTCTCTCTCCTCCACAATTCTTTCTTTCATGAAACATATCCATGCATGGTAACGAAGTAAAGGTCTGACCTATCTGTGAAATAATTCGTCAGGGTTCGCACAAAAATGAAACACAAGCACCAATGCACGTCACCCTGTTTACTATTTGCGGGAATTCCTACCCTAGGAGAGCCAAATATTATCATTTGTCATTATTCAGTGCATTCAGTGTTCTTCAGTTCCCTTCATTTTTTGATCATATAAATAACATTTCAATTATACCCAATCATGAAAATGCAAAACCAGCCTGGTAGAGTTGTCCTTCCGTTAAAAGCAGCATGGTACTACAGGCATGAACCATGGTTTAGCTTTGAGCATCGATATGATGCCAACGGCGGCAAGAGCCATTGGATTTGAATAGACAAGCAGATCTAATGATCGTGATGGTCATCGGCATTGTGCTCATTCTGAAGGATCGACATGGCTTTGTAGCCATTCCATTTATAGTTTCTTGAAGAAGCAAAGCAAAGATCACAAAACTTGAGGCAGATGATTCTTCTAATCTACCTCGAAAGCTACAGCTACCAGACTACCTGTATACAGTAACTTTCCAAGATTTGCCATGTTCAGCTGTTAATGACATGTGAATTCATGCTAAATGCCAGCCAGTGGGTGACGGGTTAGGTTTACTTGAAGGTACCATGCTTTTCTACATGTGGCAGCTCACCCTCTAAACACAGAAACTCGTAGTACAACAACTACACTGGAGGTAGAAGATCTACGCTGAGAGGGGGGATGAAGATATTGAGAACAAACAATAATTCAAAACTTATATATTAAAGAATAAATTGTAAGATTTTCCATTATAAAAATCGCATAGAAAACTAGAAATTAGTTTTTATTTTTAATTTTGGAGAGCCTTTTTAAGTGAATATTTTTATATTTTCAAAATAAAAATAACAAGAATCAGACGTGTAAGTATTAGGTTGAAAGTCCAGCAATGCTCTCTTATTTTGTTTGTGCTACATCTAGGACCCCTCCCTTGTCATTCTATATGTCTATGCATGGGATTGCATGTGCTTTGGTAGTCATATTCATTGGTATGGAAATATGCTTTATAGGACCCTCTGTTTCCTCGTCGTTTCTCTAGCACATGGAAATATATATAATATATTAAAACACATTTAACTATAATTACAGAATTGAAATTGAATATACATGACTCTAATTTACAATTTTAGCCGTGAATATTTTTTTAAAAGTATTTTATCTTTTTAAAAGACTTACAACTCCTTAGATAAATTTAAAAATCAACCTAAATAAATTAAAAAACCTGAAAATAATGGAAAAATAATAAACAAACTAGCAGGAAAAATAAAATTATTAGCATAATATTTAATTTTCTAAGAAAAATAAAAAATATATAAGGAAAAATATTTTTTCTAAACTAATAAAAAATAATAGCAACTAAAAATAATAATTTCTCTAACGATTACCCTGTTATATTAAAAAACTTAGGAAAGTTAATGAAAATTCACTCTTCATATAAATAAATAGCGAAGCTCCTCCTCCTTTTTATTTGTATATTTTTTTTAGTTTCATCTTTAATTTTTTTTAACAATCATGTACGAAATTTTTGAATATATCAAATCAACTAAATCATGTTAAAATAACTCACATATAATTTAATTTCAAATTTAAGATAAGAAATGAGTTGGTTCAAGAGTTTTTTTTGTTAATTTTATTATTTTTTATTTTTTTAATGATTTTTTTACTGACTAAATTACATTTGAATTGATCAAGTTGACAACGTTATATCAGGATAATTTCTATATAGTTTAATTTTAAATCTAAACTAAATAAAAAATTAAATATAATTTTTTTTTTAGTTTCATCATTAGCCTCGTTTTTACATTTATTTATCTAACTTACAAAATCAAATTGTCTCCAAAAACCCATTTCAACGACCTCTGATATTTAATAATTCATTTTCACATAGTTTCATGAACCTTCCTCTCTTCATGCACGCCATGCCATGAAACCACTTAAATGAACGACTTGCACCAGATTATTATGCATCACGACATTATAGTTTATTGAGCCCTCCAGGAAAAAAATAATCTTAAAATTCAACTAAAAATATTTTTATCACTGAATAAAAAAAAAAACTCAACCTTCACTCATAAGAAGGTTTTTTTATTCTAATTAGATTATACAAACAAAAAAATTCAGATTAGATTAAACCCTATTAAGAAAAAATAATATATTAAAATTGACTATGAACATAGCTTATATTAAAATTAAATGGCCAAGAATATATATATATCAAATTTATTTCTTTAATTACAGCAAACAAAACGACACAAGCTTTTAAAAACACAGATCCTCCGCCGACAATAGAGCCAACGAGGCGAGAACACGTAAGCAACCTCCCCGATTCTGTAGGACCCACAAATAGGTAGGCCCCCACAAAAGTCTCCTAAGTTTTGAACAAAAAAAAACCTTCCTTTCTTCCCTTCCTGTCACATCTCCATAATTTTCTCTCTCTGTTTCTAGAGAGAGGGAAAAGGTTTCGAGCTTTTGAGGTACAAAATTTATGAGGCCAGGTTGCCAATATCTCCGGTCACCACCACCTCTCTTCCTCGTCCGGCACCAGCACCTTCCTTCATTTTCTTCATTTTTGACTTCTTTAATAGGTAAAAATGGCTTACTATATATCATTTTTTCATGCATTCTTCGTTCTTACAATAGAATTTGGATATCAAGATGTATGCATTTTTGCATGCATGGCCTTGATGAGTATATTGTTTTCGTCACCATGTTGAAAATTCTCTTCTTATAGGTGAAAAAAAATATATTATATAGGTGCATTAAATGACAGTGAATTTTGGTCTTTTTTAGCTCTTTTTGAGAATGAATTCGAGGATGAAAGAACGGGAGTGATTTGAAGATTTTTTTTTATAAAAAAAATTCTTTCATTTCTAGATTTATTATTTTTATTTTTGTAGAAAATGCAACATATATTGCAATGATGGATCTTTCTCTTTAGCTTGATATGGTAATTTGTTTTAGATTAATTTATATATGTTCAACTGATTTTTTTCTTTTTTCTTTTTATATATAAAAGGTTGATGAACCTAACCTTGGCTGCTTGTTTTTTGCATTAGAAAATGGAGAACATGAAGAGGCCATTCAAGGGAATAACAAATGATGTGAAGGGGAGAATAGGGTGTTATAAGGATGATTGGATTAGTGGACTGTGTTCAGGCTTCAGAATATTGGCTCCAACTTTTTACATCTTCTTTGCTTCTGCCCTTCCTGTGATTGCCTTTGGAGAGCAACTAAGTAGAGACACAGGTAATTATTCTCTTGATTTTTTTTGTCAAATTGGAAGAATTTTAGAAGATAGAATCAAAAGGGTAAAGACCAATATTTAGCCATTAAATGTAGCATGTATATGTGCTGAGGTTAGTTAAGGTGTATGATGTGTTGTGACTGTAATGAAGATTGTGTTTGTTTTATGTTAGATGGAAGCTTGAGTACTGTGGAAACCTTAGCTTCTACTGCTATTTGTGGAATAATCCACTCTGTTTTCGGTGGACAGCCATTGTTGATTCTAGGGGTTGCAGAACCTACTGTTATAATGTACACTTATCTGTACACTTTCAGCAAAGGAAGGGAAGAGTTGGGGAAGAAATTATACCTAGCTTGGGCTGGTTGGTAAGGAGTTGATTAAAAAAAAAAGAACTTGTTTCAGGAATTTTAGAGTTCTTGAATATGCATATGTGCTGTCATTGATTCATTGTTCTTTTACTGTTTTTACAGGGTTTGTGTCTGGACAGCACTCCTACTAGTTCTTATTGCAATTTTTAATGCTGCTACCATCATCTCTAAATTTACAAGAATAGCAGGGGAGCTTTTTGGCATGTTGATTGCAGTCCTTTTCATTCAAGAGGCTGTTAGGGTACTGGTTTGTGATTGCTCTTTTTGTGGTAGATTTTTCTGTTTAGTGGGGTTGACCATGTTAATTTTGTAACTGCAGGGAGTGATAAGTGAATTCAATATTCCTAAAGATGAAAATCCAAAACTGGAGAAGCACCAATTCCATTGGCTGTATGCAAATGGATTGCTTTCTGTAATCTTCTCATTCGGTGTACTGTTCACTTCCCTTAAAAGCCGAAGGGCACGAACATGGCGATATGGCACAGGTAATGAGATAAAGTTTGGTGTGTGGTTGATTAACAGTAAACATTTTGTTTAGATAAGTTTAGTTTTCTTAATCTTTTATTCCATTCTTGCAGGATGGCTCCGAGGTTTTATTGCAGACTACGGAGTTCCCCTAATGGTCTTGTTGTGGACAGCATTGTCGTATGCCGGAACTGGCAAAGTTCCTTCTGGGGTTCCTAGGAGAGTTCATGTTCCACTTCTATGGGATTCTGAATCACTGGAACATTGGACAGTAATCAATGTAATAATCAGCTCCATTTTCAGTTCCATTAGATAGTTTAATTTCTGAGGATATTTTGAAATGTTAGTTTTTCAGTCTGCACTCTGCAGGATTATTTTTCTCAGGTTTCTATGGGATGCTCGATAGAACAATTATTAATTTTTCCTAGTCTCTGGCTAAAATTTTAATACAATTTAACAGTATTGTTCTGATTTATAATAATGTGTTGCACACACTCAAATTGTAGGACATGCTGAAGGTTCCTCTGACATACATCTTTGCGGCCTTAATACCAGCTGTTACGATAGCTGGATTATACTTCTTTGACCACAGTGTAGCTTCACAGATGGCCCAACAGAAAGAGTTTAATCTCAAAAATCCATCTGCTTACCATTATGATGTCTTTTTGCTTGGTTTATTGGTACGTGGTGCGTGAGATAGTTTCTTCTTTGTAAGTTGCATGTTTAGCTTCTATAGCTCCTTACCATTATATTTGGCTTTCTTGCTGCCTGTTTTCACGAGTTCAGACTTTGATTTGTGGGTTGCTTGGACTCCCTCCTTCGAATGGTGTCCTCCCCCAGTCCCCCA